ATTTGTTCCTTGTCTGAGTGTGTGCATTATCTAATACACCTCATCTCCTCATTTGAATTTTAAACAGAAAACTAATAAAGAAGATTATTGCACCATGGCAATAACAATGCTAATTGATCACTGGCACAGCAATATCTTGGGGATGCTTGTGGAAGTTACGTTGGTGAATTCTTCATTAAGTGCGTAAGGGCTTTTAATTGTAACAGAGTTCCTGCCTTGGATAAAGAGCCCCTTGACTTGGTCAAGCTTTATACATTTATCCACAGTATAGCACATAAATTGGTAGAATTAAGTGTGGCCTATTTTTATTCTGACTTGCTACTATCACAGCAATAACCTTTGCTCCTGGCTTCACTTCAAGGCTAAATACTGTGCCCAACCCATATCCAACCTGCGGTCCATGATCATTCCCATTTTGCCCACAAATGACCCAGGAAGGTTCATTGTCAGGTTAGAGAGCCAGAGGAAGGGTACAGAGAAAGTTTAGTCGATGCTAAACACAAACAAAGATGCCAGAGCAAAGCCAGTGACCTGCTGGAAACTGAGGATGGAATGTATGAGAGCTGTAAATCTTAGTTATAAAAATCATTGATCAGAATTAAAATTAAGACAAGACAAAAGAGCACTGAGATGATTCAGGTCTTGTCCAAAGAATTCAATTTAAAACTGTAACTTTGAGAAGCTCTGGGTTGGTTCATTCCGTGTTTGTGTAAGCAGCCGGTGTGAGGATTACTGCAAGAACAAAACTCTGTCTGGCATTCTTCCAGAGGGGCTGCGTGAGGTTAGAGCTGCATAAGTCTCCTCTGTTGTGCTGAGGAGCTTTGCTAAGCTGCCTGACACCGCTTGATCCTTCTGGATATAGAGAAGCTTTCCATCATCTGCAAAGAATTAGAGGTTATATGAACAGCATCAGGAAGAGTATCAATGTAAGCGAATTACTGCACTGATGTGTGTGTTGTGAAGCATGTGCCTGGAGCAGTGTGCAGCTCTCCCTGTGGGTCAGGTACCACGGAGTAACTCATGCTGTACACCTGTATCCGAGTAGTGACCAGACACCCAGCAAGTGCCACTGGAGCTCTGAGATACCCAGAAGTCTCTGGCAGTGTTTTATACCCTCCCCTGCTGTGAGAGGTATGGCCAGCTGTTATGAATTGAGTATTGAACCCAAACAGAGCCCCAGCCCTCATTAAAACCTATACTCGTGACAACTTCTAGACATGCTCTCAGACTCACCAGCTTCCCGCAGTGCAAACACATCACTCAGGGCCAAGTAACCACATTGGTCCTCTGTGCAAGTGTACGTACTGCTCAGGCACAGTGGGGATAGTGGAGCATCGAGCAGCTCGGGGGCTTGACCAGAGGCTGTGGTTCCAGAGAGGGACAGAGGTTGGAGAAGGGGCATAAGTGCACATCACACTCACAGCTTCTTGGGCAGGGCTTTGATGGGAGGCTTTCTGAAAAAGAACATTGTCCATAGGATCTGTTTCTGCCCTGAGAAAAAGGCTTGGTGTCCTTTTGGTGTAAATAGGGTGAAATGATGCATGTATTAAGCTAATCTCCTCTTCCAGTGTTAGACTGCAGTCCAAGGGGCAGGAGCATTGCAAGACTTGACTTGTCTTAACTTCTTAAAGACTTCATGTTTTAACAATTCCCATCAGTCCATTGAAAAAAGTCCCAGGGAATTCCTGAATTTCATCACAGAGCTAATTGTGGTGCTTTCCACTTTCCCTTGTCTGAATCTCTCTTACCCTTCCCACCTCTGCCCAGCCCTGGGGTGCTGCTTTTAGAGGGACTCCTTCCTTACTTTGCCTTATGTCAACTTTTGCTGTGTCTTGTGGACCTACGGAGTGGTGCTAGTGCTTTCCTGGGTGCTCTTGGAGGCCAGGGGGCCATCACTTGCCCAGCTAAACACATAGTAGGGCTCCCAAAAACCTATAGTACATGTAGCTACAGCATGATTGCATCTTGCTTGCTCTCTGTGTCACAAACTGTATGCAAAGGATGAAACAAATAAATGAATAAATCATTGGCGTTGTAACACTGCAGACAACTGGAAACATGATATAAATACTAAAGGCTGGATCTATGCTTCCCAGCAGTGTTTGATGTGGGCTACAGCTACCCCAAGGGACTTCTGGTCCCTGAGGACCTGATTTACGCCAGTGCTGGAGATCAAAAGCCAGGATGTGGTGTTGCACAGCTATAATAATGGCTGTCCAAATTTCATTCAGCTCCAGGTCTGGTGAGACAATGCTAGAATGCAGCCATTGGCAGACCAGGAATTAAATGATTTGTGTTGGCTGGCTTAGGGAAGGGATTCACTGTTTTCATCACATGCCAGTACTGTTTCAGCCATGTATGGAGGAAAAGAAGAGGCTTTATAAGGGTTTATGAATTGGCTGGACACCAGAACTTAAGCCCTGCTAAGTTGTAGTATTTATCCTTACAAAACTCATCTTCCAGTTGCGGAAATAAATAGGGCTGGATTCCTGTCATGCAGACGGGGAATGCTGTAACCACTGGTGAGAGCTCCAGATACTCCAACATGCAAAAAATCATTACATAAAGCCCCAAAGTGCCAGATGTGTTGTTAATAAGTTCATTTATTTACTTTATAGAATTTGATTGTGACAGCCATTAAGCACGGTCTGGGCACTGGCTCTTACCAGGGTGGAGTGTTTCTACCTGGACAGGGGCATCTCTTATTTGCTGGTTAAGCAGATTAGGGGCAACCCTAGCCTAAGGAGACCAAATGGTGGATGTCTCCTCTAGCACAAAGCAAACCTCCAAATCCATATGATGTTTCCACACTCAAGATCTCCAGCACAGTGTGCTATCTGAGGGCCTCTTTGCTGGGTGTCACAACCTGGGATAATGGTATGAGGTTTCTTCCACTTGAAAATTTGTATCCCTAGGTATTCTGGATTGTACCCTCAAGAAAACAGCATCTAAACTGTAGATCACTGAGAATTAGCCTATGGCTTCCACAAATATGAATTTAAATAGCCTATTATCTCAAAGCACTGTTAATGTTATTATTCCCACTTACTAGATGCATGCTCCATACTGAATATGCTTCAAATTCATTAGCTTCCATTTTATGTTGCATAAATTTGTAGTCTGCCCTTTTTAAAGAGAAGATGAAACCTGAGTGTAAAATTTCCTGAACAGTTCCAATGTAGCTTAATTAGTAACTTGTAAGGATTTTGCAAGCCTCTGAGATGGCTTGAAATGCTTGAGTCATTTTATTACAAGATTTGGAGTTAGTATTCCAGATTAATAATACATATGAGCATTTATTAAACTCTAGGCAGCACTTACAAACAACAGCAACAAAAAAAGGCTTATCATGCCTGTAACAGCCTTAAGGAGGAAAAACTTGTGAGTGACTCATCTTCTGCTCTCTTTTCCTTCATGTTCAGTTGAAGCTGAAGTTCTGGGAAGGGGCTGAGCCCCCTGGGTGGAGGACAGGCTTCATTTTATAGACTGCTCTGTTGCTCCCACGTTTTCTCCAGAGGACAAGTAGATGGCAACATTGAATTTGGAGTGCTTTGCTTGGGATGTGGAGAAGGGGTCTTCTATTGGTAAGGGACTTACTTCATAAATGTAATTTCCTATAACAGTGTTAAAGATGGGCACTGAACTTTTAGGTACCATTTTCTTTTGCTAAAGAAGGAGGGATGAGGATCAGAGGAGGCTGGTTCTTGATGGCTCTGCTATGCCACAGCAGCCCGTATGGCTGATTTGGTACAGATCACTGACCCCTCCAGTACTTGCTGAGGCACATGCAGTGGCTGATGTACAAATGAATGTGGGTTTTTATGTTAGTGCATAAAGAATCAAGGGTCTCTGGTTTATCGACCACTTCTAGGAATACCTTCTTGACAGGCAGTAGTTCTCTATAAAAAGCAGAACAAATCTCCCTATAGGGGGATTTAAAACTTTCTCGACTGAGTTTTCTTCAGGAGATCAAACTTTCTCCAGATCCAAGTGAGAGGAATAGCACCAAAAATATATCAAGGTGCCCATTTATGTTAGCAGAGATTCTTAACCAGGCACAGCTGGAGAGAGACAGAAAGAAGCAAGTAATAAAGTTAAATAAAGAAGGAGACTTCTAGCTTGAAAGTGGAGCCTTAGGAAGGAAATTTAAAACTGGCACGACCATATGACAGTGCAGGACCACTGGAGATGTCCAGCAGCAGCAGCAGCAAACATGTGCAAACGTGATGAATCCATAGGCTGTTCTCCAATGCCTCAGACACCTTCATTGAAAGTGCAATGTGAAGCTGGCTGGGGAAGGGCAGGCTTTTCCTTAAAGATATCACAAGGCTTGCAGTAGCGGTGAATGCAAATGTAGTCAGAGAGCCAAATCCATCTCCGTGTGTAAAGGCTGTGTATAACTCAACGAACTAGAGGTTGCGAGATGCATCAACCTAGTGCTGGCTCTCTCCATGGGACTAAATTTCCTTTAAACTGCTTTCACGTGGTGTGCAAACTGGAAAGGGGCACGTTAGTGCTGCTCACAGCGGGGCCTGCAGTAGAGCAGCAGCAGTAAGAATGATTCAGAATAATAAACCTTGTCTTCCCGGGTGAGCGCAAGTGAACAGTGAGCCAGCAAAAGGGAATGCTGAGGGAACATCTCTTGGAGAGCGATGAGGGAGCAGCCGGGGCTGGTTGAGGGGGGCTGTGTGCCAGGGAAGGGGGTGGTCTGCTGTATATTCCCAGTGCTGTGCTACCAGAGGCTGTTTTATCCCTGCAAGTGAGAAAGGAAGGAGCTGTTTGGAGGAAAGACTTCTGTTCATTGCTAATTCATCCTCTGAGGCTTGTACAGCACATCCTAAAGTCCCTGTCTGAGGGCTCTCCTGGGTCCCAGGGTGAGAAGTGCTGGTGGGAGAGCAGGGCACAGCGCCACTGCACAAGCTTCCACTTATTTTGTTTGTGCTATTTACGTTCCTTCCAACTCTGTCTCTCCCCTGCTTCTTGCTCTGTCTCTGATACAGCCCATCAGAAATGTCTCAGAGGGTTTTCACCAAATCATGGAGTGGGCTGGAACCTGCTGGGTTGGTCAAAGCCTTCTCCTGAGGTTTAGGAGAAGGCAGTGGAGAAATTCAGCTGTATCTAGCATGCAGTGAATGTGGACTGGTGCACAATCATTTTGAACTTTGTCTATTCAATTAGTATTGGTATTATGAAGGAAATGTAGATCCTGATAAAGATGGTGACCAGTTTCTTTTTTAAGGACATTTGGGTCAAGATCTCCCTTTTGTCAAATTCATTACTCACTTTCTGGGCATTCTTGCTATCCTCTTGTTATGTTCAGCTACAAGATTGGTGGACCTGACTGTGTTGGTTGACTTTCAATTCTGTTGTCAAAATAAATGAGAAGTCAGGAAATTGCAGACCCAGTCCAAATGCAATCTGCTCAGGGGGTTGGTACTTGGAAAGTTCCCTCCATCTGTTGTGGTTGGTTTAGAGGCTCGCTCAGACCTTTGGCATGACCTGTTGATTTCAGTGTCTGCCCAAATATTTACAACCAAGTACAATAATTGTGGTATCCAAGCCATAAAACTGCGGATCACTTATAGGCTCCTCTCTGGCATATCTCTTGTCCAGCCATGACAAGCCCAGCAAGCAAATCTGGTTTAGCTCAAAGGCAAGCCTATGTTGCATGAAGGACTTACCTCTGCTCCCAAGACGAAACTCCTCCTGCAGCCATCCAGATCAATCTAATTGTAAGCAATATAAAATGGTGCTTTAAATAAACCTCATCTGCATACTGAGAAAAACTTCTCAGCTTACTGAATATGGAAATTATTTATCGCCTCAGTATCAAAATATCAGAGGTTGGCTGGTGCCTTCGGGAGAATCAATTGTGATACAGCATTATTTCTCACTTCCCCATGTATAATGTGATCTGCCAAATCCAATCCAGTTTTGCATTTGATGGTCCCCAGTAGGATGAAAGGTGAAGCTAATGTCATATAAACAATGCCAAGCATCATCCCCCATGAAATTTTATGTGACAGTTGAAAGGTGCCAAATTATCCTAAAATAGCCTGGGGACTTCACAGTTCCTGCGACCTAGCAGTTTACAACAATGCAGATATTTTGCTGCTCACTTTGCTTCTGTTCTCTCTTTTTAATTGTGAACTCAGTACCAGTATTCCAGCCTTGTAGGTGAGAAAATGAGTGGTTTCATGCCGTGCTATCCAATATCCTCAGTAACAAGACACTGTAGAGGGAGAACGTGGAGGCAGAAGCAAGCGTTTGCTAAGTCCAAATCCTTCTCTCTTCACTCGCTCTTGATCAGACCAAAGTCTCATTTGTTGCCATTATAGGGTAGTTTTCCCTAAATGTGGCCAAAAAGAGAGTTTTGTGCAAGGACATATCATAAGCCAAATTGTCTTTTATTTTTTCACCATGCAAGAAATAGCCTGCTTTTTGCTCTTCCTCTCCCTTCCTAGATCCTGAAACAATCTCTATTACGTGGGCACATCATCACTAGGGGAACTCCTTGTTTTTCTTGTCATTATCTGTAAAATAAGTCTGATATATATATATGTGTGTATATATATATATATATATGTAGGATGTTAAGGATGTGTATATTTATTGAAAATTGCCTGGGTAAGATGAACTACCATTGAGAATATTAGAGCAGAGCCTACAAATTACTGCCAGTTCCCAGCCCAAGGAAAGGTCTAAATGTGTTTCTCTGTTTCTTTCCATTTCTCTTGGGCAATATTGCTAATTGCTGCTCATCTTTCACATCTGAGATCTGGCTGTTTTATTGGGAAAACATCCCTTTGTGCTTATATCTGTGCTGAGGTTGCCCATTTAATTTCAGTGAAGGATGGTCGTGTCAAAAGTGTGCAATGGAGAGATGCTCATTGCAGAGCAGTTGTGACTGCTGGACTTTCTTTATTCCTCAACCATATCTATATCAGAGATCAGTGTTGTTTATCAGTCCGCATTTGTCAGGTGCTGCATCTCTACGGCACTGAGTGCATATTTTAGTACATTAAAGAGTTTCCAATCTGCCTATAAGGAGACTAAATAGCATATTAACACTATGTGGTCTTCCTTATATGTCATGGGACCTGAGGATGGAAAGACTAGGACTCTGAACAACATGAACAAAGATCTCATTATATTTAGAGTAAATTGGAGTAGGCACTGCATTAACATGGGACAAAAATAAATCTTTCTTAGCTAATACACTTTATGTGTTTCTATAACAAAGGATGGCAGATTTTCTTAACATCTCAGTTACCTTCTTACGGGCTTGAGAGGAAGGCAGTTTTTCATTAAGTTGCTTTGCAACCATGGTGGGAGTAAGGGATGCATTGCTTTGGGTGCAAAACAAGTGTAAAGATAAATCTTTTTTACAGACATGAGTAATGTCTGTAATGAGTAATGAGGTTAACGCTACAAGCCCTGAAAAGGGGGGTGAATCTGGTGAGCTTCTAAACCTGTGATGTGCTGGATGCCAGTTCTTCACTGCCAGATTACTGGCATTTAACTTGGGAATTGCCAACAAGCTGATGGAGGAGTTTCCTGTGGGTTCGTTGTCTGGAAAATATTGTGAGTTTATCTTGAAAGCAGTTCTGTACTTTCAGTTTCTTTGCAAAATGCTCATTGACAATATTCTTACATTTGTGCTTTCTTTGCTTAGTTTCATAATTAAGAAGTATTTTTATAGTCTTACACAGTTTGCAAAGGGATGGAAGGAGGACCAAGTGCTTGGTCACCTTACCTGTCATACCCAAGCTCCCTGTGGTGCTCCTCACGGGCATACCCATGGCACCATGGCCAGGCTCTGTGAGGACAGGCAGTAGGAGCAAGGTATTATAAAAGCAGGAGTCCTCTGTGCTTCAGCTACAGCACAAGACTCATTTTCTAGCAGGGACTAGTGAAGATTGCTTGGAATTGAGATGGCTGGCAGAAATAGGCTCCTGTCTCCACCCCAGGAGCAGACTGTCCCTTGCATCCCCAGGTCTGAATGTGCAGGGCTGTGAACTAGGGATGTGAAATGCCTCAATTTCCACAAACTCAGATATACACTATTTAAAATCATTCTCCATCACTCTAGTGGTTGATGTCTGCACATGACTCCCATCTTGGACTTAAAGACCTGGTGAAAGGGAAAGATTGCTATTCATATACTCAGTAACCACTCTTCTCTTACATGGCAGCAGGTGTCCTGTGCTTTGATAGCAACAAAAGGCCCCTCTGGCAGTGCTTTTGGAAGAAGTTTCGTTTGGCTTTTCTTTGGTTTGGCAGTGGCCTGTGTGTTGCCTGCAGAGGAGGGAGGCAGTGCCTGGCCCCTGTGCCCCATAGCTGGTACCGTGGTGCCTGCACATGAAGGGACATGGCTGAAATTGCAAAGCCTGTCAGGCCCAGAGGGTTCATCTTGTCAGGATGTACGCAGCTGTGAAGGTGGGCAGAGTCTGTCCTCTGGCTATATAGCCATTAAACAATTTTCCATTCATCATTGTTGGCTGGCCCCAGAGCCCTGTTAAATAACTTTTACCATTAGCTTCAATGGGCACAACATTTAGCTTGGTGCTGGAAGTGGGGCTACAGGGAGGAAGATGGGGTCCCTGCCATAGCCATCACCTCTTGCTGCTGCTGCCCTGCATCTTCCCAGCCATGCGGGGTGGTTGTCAGTGACCACCTCTTCTCTGCACCAGGCTGTGCTGCTGTTGCCAGTCCACTGCAAACAGCCCCCTTGCAGGGGACAGAAATCAGCTGCCCAGTGGCACTTGGAGGCCTGATCCTTGCCCTCAGGTCCTTGGGGGAACCACCAGGCTTCAGTCTGCTTCCAGCAGGGCTCAGATATGCTTTGCCCAAGAGCTGCTGAGGATTAGCCAGGTCTGACCCAGCCCAGGGGTTTCACTGCAGGAGGGGTTCAGAGCAGCCAATGAAATCTTGGAGTGGGCTGGGGACATGCCGAGGGGGTCTGCAGAGGACTGCAGAGCAGTTGTAACCACCAAAGACTAAGTATTTTCTTCTGTTTTACTTATGAAAATCAGACAGAAAATCCTAAAGGCAAGGTTAGCATTAGCCATTTATAAGACATCTTCAACTAACAAAGCTCAGTTTCTATTCAAATACCAGTATCTTGTATTTTCAATGTGAAATGGGAATAGCTGTGTTATATAAAATATAAGAAGAGAAAGGCATATTATTGTTTTAACGCAACCTTTCTAAGCGAATTTGTATTCACACTGTATCTTAACAGAGAGATGCGGGAAGCAGACAGAAATTTATCTTCTCCAGAGAGTGATACATCAGTGCCTGGTTCACAGGAACATTATTCAGACATCTCAAGAGCACCATGCACAAAAATACACATACCATGAATTTCCTGAGCAGACAAGGGCTAGCTGGAATGACGGCAATGGTAGGCAGAGCACAGACCAACAGCAGAAGCGTGGCAGGAGAAATCAGGATTATTCCACTGGAAATACAGTGAAAACAGCTAGGAAAAATTTGTCTGCTCATTAGGCAAATTATCTGTATTTCCTTCACTGTCTGTCCTCAACGTGCCTTTCGTGTAGAGTTCAGCTTCCAGGATGCTCAGAGCTCCTAAGGAACCCACTCCCAGGGAACCATCTCTCCCCCCCCAGCTTTGAAGAGCCCAGCTTCTGCCTCCGAGGGAAATCTGAGCCAGTGGAAACTTCTGGAGGAAAGTATCACTGTCAGAAAGGGGCCAGTTGAGGTCTTTGAAAGAGTGTTTTGCAAGAAAACACAACTTCTTTGTGTGACTCGCATCCCTCCAGCCTAATTTCCCCTGACAAGACAGTGGCAGCAGCAGGCTTGTTGGACCAGGGGAGCAGTGACTGTTTTCTTTCCCTTCCCACAGACTTTAACAACTGCTGTCTCCCTTTTGAACAAATCCACACAACAAGAGACAAGTTGTCAAGAAAGATTATATCAGTCCTTCCGTAAAACATCTCATGTCCAGGCTCAGCTTTTGCACCTGGGAGGGCAAAGTCTTCCCCAAGATACCTTGTGCCATCACCCGGGACAGCAGGGACAGAGTTTGGGGACGGGGGGACACGGCATCCCCCCTGGGTTGCAGGCCACAGGTGGCCTCAGCACACCTCAGTTGTGATCCTGTGATGTGTTTGGGTTGCTGTCTCTCATATTTTAGTGGAGGTATCTTCTCCCAGGGATATTGTCCACACTGGGACTCAGTAGTCCAAAGGCCATCGCTGATTTGCCCTAATGGTGTCTCCAACAAGCTGTATCGAAGCAAAACCAGCCAATATTGCAACTGTAGAAACTACTGAGACCTCCTGGGCGGCCAGTTGATGTAGGGAGTGAAGCTGTGTCAAGTCTGGAAAGATCAACGCAGAGGGAGGGGAAGTGTTCTACAAATGTGATGACTTTTCACTTGGCCCTTGCTGTCCAGGAGACAGATCACGTTGAAGGGGCAGAAGTCATTAAAAGCTGGGTTAAAAGAGTTATTTGAGTTAAATGGTTAACTCCCTGTTGCATGGAGCAGTGATGTAATAGCAGTGGTGGATAGATAAGTGTTAAAAATAAACCATCTAAGAGAAGTTGACTGGCTGGCTTTGTTGTAACAAGCCAGGAGGAACCAAGCTTGGTGGAAGGAGGTGCAGAGCAGCAAGTGGGAGATTTTCTGTGAGCGGTTTGGATGTGAAGTGTGTGATGATAGAACAATC